CTGCGTAGAGCGTGGAAGACCTCGAGGTCCTGGCCAACTTTTGAGGACTCTCGGCCAATTGTGGGCTGCGTTGCTCGCCGTTCTTTGGATGGCGTTCTTTCGGTGAAGTAAATTCTCGCGATTCTAATCTATTCCTTTCGGTTCCTGTTAATTCTATAGGCTTGCGCCACATCCGCCGTCCTTTCTATAAACTATCGCGCCTCCAGGACTGCATTTCACGAGGCCTGTCCGAATCGTGACGCGGCGCTCGACGTCGATGCTGTTATCGTACCTCTTGGTGCGCTATGGGCCTTTTGGTGGCATCTTGGCTTGTCTGCAGGCCACATCCTGCAGCTTCGAGGCATCTTGGGCCAAGTTTTGGGGCCTCTTGGGTGCTTCCTGGGGGCTTCTTGGAGGCCTTTGGGATTCTCTGAGGGGCCCCTCTGGGCCTCTCGGGGGGTTCTCGGGGCAGGCTGGGGGCGTCTTGGGGTAAGGTTCGAAAAGGTGCACCCTGGACTCCATCTTGGAGCCGTCTGGAGGCCTTCTTGGGCTGTCTTGGGGGCTTCGTGGGCTGTTGTTGGACCCCCATTCGACCCTTCTTGGGGCCCCCTGTGGCCGTCTGGGGGCGATGTTGAAGGTTTCTTTGCCCGTTGTGGACGTCGTGAAAACCGAGCCGGCGAGCGTGCGACATATGCTTGTTTTCCGGAGAGAGTGGGCCGATGTTTGTTTCTTGGGGCCTTCCTGGGGCGCATCTTGGGGGCCTCTTGGGGCGTCTTGGCAGCTTCGGAGGCCGCCTGGAGGCCGTCGTGGGCATCCAGGAGCGATATGTCGGCGAATCGTGGCACCCTGGGGCCGTCTGTGGAGCGTTTTGGTGCCTTCTTGGCTAGTTGGAGCCCTCCGCTCCCCCGTGGCGCGTTCGGTCCAGGGTCGCGCTCGGCCCGGGGGGGGGGGTCGCATTGCCGGTTTGGGGTCCCGGGGGGGGGGATTGGGGGGGGGGAATCTCGCGCGCCTAGAGACCCGCAAGGGGTCGGCTGATTTTCATTAATACCATTCTACTTGTTTCCTATTGACTCTAATTGAATGTAAGTGGGTCCGATTGATCCCTATTGGTTCTCAGTGATCTCATTTGTTTTAATTGATTACGACTGATTTTAATTGATATCTGTTTCTTCTAGTTGATTTGTATTGCTTCAAATTGATTCGAATGTGTTCTAAGTGATTCGTTTTGTTTTGAATGATTCTTATGGGATTTCACTGAGCTTCATTGTGTCCAATTGTGTCTTACTGATTCTCATTGATTCCTGTTGATTTGAATGGGTTCTTCATGTCTGATTCCGATTGAGTTTAGTTGATTCCATGTGATTATATGAGACTTTCTATGGGTCCCCATCTATACTGTTAGATTCTTATTGTTTCTCATTGGTTTTATTCGACTCTTATTGTTCGCCATTGATTTTCATTCATTCATTCATTCATTAGTTCATTGATTTTCATTCATTCCTATTGAGTCTGAATCATGCATTTTGATTCCTATCGATTTGAATTGGCCCCCATGGATTCTTCTCGATGTTATTTGAACTCTTTTGATTCCCGTGGTTTCCGATGTATTCTCATTGGTTCCCATTGATTATCATGGATTATCATTGGTTCTCATCGGTTCCGATTGATTCTTATTGATTCCTATTGGTCTTTATTCATTCCTGATGGGTTCATTGATCCTTGTTGATTCTAGCAGGTTCCTATTGATTGTAATAGATTCGGATTGATTCTGCTTGGTTCTCATTGGTTCTTATTGATTCTAGCTGATTCCTAATTGATTCTTATTGCTTCCTATGGAGTGTAATTGATGCTTATTGGTGCTAATTGCTCCTTATTGATTCTAAGTGATTCCCCTGAGCCTACTTGATTTCCATTGTTTCTCAACGATTTTCACTCATGCCAATCGAGTCCAACTAATTCTTATTGATTCCGATTGGTTCCTTTCGCTTCCTATTGATCCGGATTGATTCCTCTTGCTTCTCCCATTCGTATTGATTCGTATTGAGTCGTATTGGTTCAATTGATTCTAATTGAACTGTATTGGTCCCATAAAAGCTCCGTCCATTCCCGACAGGATCTTATTTGAGCTCCATCCATCCCTAAGAGGATCCTAGTAGATCCCCATGCATCCCCAATAGGAAAAGCTTGAACTTCATCCATTCCTAACAGGATAGTGCTAAGTTCCATCCATTCCTAACAGGATCCAACTGGAGCTCCATCCATCCCTAACAGGATCTTCTTCGAGCTCCATCCATACCTAACAGGATCCTATTGGACTTCCATCCACTCCTAACAGGATCCTATTCGAGCTCCATCCATCCCTGACACGATCCTGTTAGAGCTCCACCCATCCCTAACAGGATCCTATAAGAGTTCCGTCCACTCCTAACCGGATCCCCTAGAGTTCCATCCACCCCTAACAGGATCTTGTAATAGCTCCATCACTTTCCAACAGGATCCTCGTAGAGCTCCATCCATCCCTAGCAGGATCCTATTCGAGCTCCATCCATCCCTAACAGGATCCTACTAGAGTTCCATCACTAACCGGATCCTATTACAGCTCCATCTATCCCTAGCTGGATCCTATCAGAGCTCCATCCATGCCTAACAGGATCTTGTAATAGCTCCATCCACTCTTGACAGGGTCCCCTTCAACTCCATCCATCCCTAACAGGATGCTGTTCCAGCTCCATCCATGCCTAACAGGGTCCTAGTAGAGCTCCATCCATCCTTAACAGGATCCGATTCGAGCTCCATCCGTCCCTAGCAGGATCCGATGACAACTCCATCCATCCGTAACATGATCCAATTGGAGCCCCATCCGTCCCTCACAGGATCCCATTCGAACTCCATCTTCTCCTAACCGGATCGTGTTAGAGCTTAATCCATCCCTAACAGGATCCTATAAGAGTTTCATCCCATCCTAGCATGACCTCGTAGAGTTCCACCCATCCGTAACAGGATCTTATACGAGTTCTATCCACCCCTCACAGGACCCCCATAACAGGATGCTATTAGGGCCCCATCCATCCGTCACAGGTTCCCATGAGAGGAGGCAACCAGAGGCGTTGCTTCGCCAGCGCGCAGACGTTTGGCGAAACCAGGGCCGAGTTGACCCCTATATGGGTCCCAGTTGATTTTTTGGTTAGTTGTTTGTATGAGTGCTGGCTGCTGGCTGCTGGCTGCTGGCCCCCTCCCCTCGTGGGTGGGGAGGGGCGCACATAGGCGTTGATACCTTCTTGTTGTTGTAGTCGTTATTGTTGTTGCTGTTGCTGTTGTTGTTGTTGTTGTTGTTGTTGATGTTGTTGATTTTTGTTGCTGATGTTGATTATGATGCTGTTGATGAGGATGACTATGACGATTCGGATGATTATGGTGATGATGCTGATGATGATGCTGATGATGCTGCTGATGATGCTGCTGATGATGATGATGATGATCGCGAGGCTGATTATGATGATGATGATGATGATGATGATGATGATGATGATGATGATGATGATGATGATGATGATGATGATGATGATGATGATGATGATGATTCTGATCATGAGGAGGAGGGGGGGGACGAGGAGGAGGAGGAGGAAAAGGAAGAGGAGGACGGAGGAGGAGGAGGAGGAGGACGGAAGCGGAGGAAGGGGTACAGGAGGAGGAGGAGGAGGGGGAAGAGGAGGAGGAGGAGGAGGAACAGGAGGAGGAGGAGGAGGAGGAGGAGGAGGAGGAGGAGGAGGAGGAGGAAGAGGAAGAGATTGCGGAGGATGTCCAGCGTTTTGGAGGGAGGATTTGTCCTCTCCAGGAATGTCGCGGCAGGCAGCCAGCGCCGAGTGGCACGGCCACAGTCGCGGGGAAGCGAAGTATAAGAGTGGGAGCCACGAGTGGGATGGCGAGGAGGGGGGTCCTTCTCCAGTTTTTCCTCCTGCTCCGCCCTAGGACTCCAATGCTGCGTTTTCCTTCGTAACTTGGACCCCTGGAGGTCTGTATCCCTTGCCCAGGACGGGTTTGTCATCCCGAACCACCCGAGGTTCACTATCGCCGCAAACCTTTCGTTGCGTGTTTATTTGCAACGCGATGGATCTAGGCCTTCCCTCCTCTCTCTTCCTCCCTCCTCCCTTCTCCTCTCTCCTGCTTCACCTCCTCCTGCTCTTCCCTTGACCTCCTCCTCTGCCCTTCTCCGTCCCCTCCTCTCCCTCCTCCCTCCGCCTTTCTTTCCTCGTCTTTCTCATCTTCCATCATCCTCCTCTTCCCTCCTCCAGCCTCGCCTTCCTTCCCCCTCCTCTTCCTACCCGCGCCCTCCTCCTCCTCGTCCTCCCTCCTTCCTCCTCGTCCCTCGCCCCTCGCGCCTCGCCTCCTCCTCTTGCCTCCTCTGCCCTCGTCCCCCCATCGGCTTTTTCATCCTCCTCCCTCCCTCCCCCCGCACTGCCTCCTCCAGTGCCCGCCAGCCCCTCGCTCGCCCGAGGTGTGCGAGCACGGCGCCATGATCCGCATCCCTCTCCCCGCACTGCCTCCTCCCCCCCTCTCCCCGCACTGCCTCCCCCAGCAAGGGGACAAAAAAGTGGAACCCCGTCGTCATCGACACCATGTTCGCTCCCCCCCTTCCCCCAACTCAAACTTGGGCTCTGGCATGGTGGAGGCCCCAGGGGTTCCACTTTTTTTGCCCTGTCAAGCCTGTGCTCTTGAATGCCTGGGGTCAGCTCTGAATGTGGGGGGAGGGGAGGGGCCAGAGTCAAGGGTTCCACGTTTTTGTCCACCTGCGGTCCCCCCTCCCCCCGCACTGCCTCCTCCGGTGCCCTCTGGGGCCCCTCGCTCGCCCGAGGTGTGCGAGCACGGCGCCATGATCCGCTTCCCTATCCCCGCACTGCCCCCCCCCTCCCCCCCCTCTCCCCGCACTGCCCCCTCCTCCCCCCCCTCCCCCCGCGCTGCCTCCTCCCCCCCTCTCCTGGCACTGCCTCCTCTGGTGCCCGCCGGCCCCTCGCTCGCCCGAGGTGTACGAGCACGGCGCCATGATCCGCATCCCCCTGGGAGCGGGCCCGCGCCGCGGCACGGGCACTGGAGCGTTGGACGCTCGTCTGGGGGGCCCTCCCGGGGCCCACCTGGCGTGATGGGCGTGTTTTCCACCACCGCCACCATAAGTTGGAGGGGGGGTCCTCCTCCTCCTCCTCCTCCTCCTCCTCGCCCTCCTCGCCATCCTCCTTCCCCCCTCCAACTTGTGGTGGTGGTGGTGGTGGTGGTGGTGGTGGAAAACATGCTCATCATAACGGATCCGTTCGACTCAAGTTCGATTCAAGTTCGATCAAGGCTCGACTCAAGCTCGACTCAACTTCGACTCAGGTTCGACTCGGGTTCGACTCAGGTCCGACTCAAGGTCGGCTCGAATCGACGGACGTTTGCCGCAGCTTCGACGCACGAGTGGAGCGAGTATCTCCGGGAAGGTCCCCCAAATGAGCATCCAAGGTGCGGCATCTGCGGCGAGAGTGAGTACGATGGAATGTTGTTTGTTGTGCAGATTGATGCACACATTTCATGTTTTTTCTCTTTGCCATCCAGGGGGGGTGGGGCCCCTCCCCCCTCGGGCCGGACGCCCTGGAATACCCGGCCTCCGAGCTCCTGGACGCCACTGCAGAGGGCCCCACGAGACGTCCAGGCTTCTGGAAGTCCCCGCCAAGCCGTGCAAACAGGCTGGCGGCGGTCCCAACAGGACCCCAAGACGCTCCAACATGGCCCCGAGAGGGCCCAAGAGACTCTCGAGACATCCCATAGCACTCCGAGAGGAGCCCCAAGCAAGCCCCGAGAGGCAAAAGCCATGCATTCTACCTGGTTTTGGCCGTATTTTGCCGTTCTCGTATTTTCGGGCTACCGGCGCTCCAGGACAGCCCCTCTTCGGTCTTCTGGGCGTCCGAGGCGCTCAGGAGGCCCGAACACCGCCCCAAAAGACGGCCCAACATGGCCGTAAGATGGCCCGACGAGAGCCCCTAAGACGGCCCAAGGTGGCCCCAAGACGCCCCCGAAGCATTCCAAATCGTGACCCGGGCATTCAGGGGCAGTGTGGCGCGAGGAAGCCTCCAGAGGCCCCCAGAAGGCGCCCAGGAGGCTTCCAGACGGCCCCAGGAAGCCCTTCAAAGCTTTCGTGAGTCCCCCAAGAGGCTTTCCAAGGAGGAGCCTCCGCAAAACAGCTGAGGAGGATGAGGAATTCCCAAGGTAGGGCGATCATGAGGAAGAGGAAGAGGAAGCACAAGGGGAATCTATTGAATACCTTAACTAATGGTAGCGACGATGCCAGGAAAAGGCACCAAGGAGGTATCGCTAAATTTTCTGTTTACCTTCCAGCCATTCCGCATGCTTGCCAAACTTCAAGGACCAAGGTGATTGGCGCGAAACGCCAGTGCAACCTTGTGTATATATATATATATATAGTTTCACCTGCACACACACATTGCACTCACATTCATGTATTCTTAGCTATAGCAGCGGTGTAATTCTAGACGCTTCGCGTATCCCCACCAGCCCGTCCAGAAATGAGTCCCAGGGGAGTGGAGGTTATGAGGGAAGCGGGGGAGCATGCAGAAGAACAAAGGGCGGGGTGAGCCGCCATATACCCCAAGAGGGGGAGGATGTAGGAGGAGCCGTCGTCGTCGGAGTAGGAGGAGGAAGAGGAGGAGCAGGAGGAGGAGCAGGAGGAGGAGGAGGAGGAATAGAAGGAGGAGGAGATGGAGGACTGCGAGGACGAGGAGGACGAGAAGGAGGAACAGGAGAAGGAGGAGGAGGAGGAGGAGGAGGAGGAGGAGGAGGAGCAGGAGGGGGAGGGGGAGGAGGGAGGAGGAAGAAAAAGAGGAGGAGGAGGAGGACAATGGCGAGCTTGGGGGCCTCTTGGGCCGTCTTTGGGGCCTCTTGGCGGTCCCGGGGGCCTCTTGCGTATCTCGGGGGGCCTCTTGTGGCCTCTTGGGGGTCTCTTGGGGGCGTCTTGGAGGCCTCATGGGGGCCTTTTGGGGCCTCTTGGGGCTCTCTTGGGGCGCTCTTGGGGCGCTCTTGGGAGCCTTCGAAGCGCTCTTGGGGCCATCTTGGAGGAGATCTATCAAAGAAGGGGGTTCCCCAATTAGCGCTGCCCCTCTAGAGTGCCTCGAGTCGCCTCTTGGGCGCCCCAAGAGGCCAAAATCCTTCCAAAACCTAGGTAAAATCAATGTTTGTTGCTTTCTCGCCTTTTCGCTCTTGGAGCCGTCTTGGGTCATCTTGGACTCTCTTGGGGCCTCTTGGGGGTCTCTTGGCAACGTCTTGGAGGCTTCTTGGGGGCCTCTTGGGGTCTCTTGGGGCCCTCTTGAGGCGCTCTTGGGGCGCTCTTGGGAGCCTTCGGGGCGCTCTTTGGGCCATCTTGGAGGAGATCTATCAAAGAAGGGGGGGGTGCTTATTAGCCCCGGCCCTCCAGAGTGCCTCGAGTCGCCTCTTGGACCCCCCCAAGAGGCCAAAATCCTTCCAAAACCTAGGTAAAATCAATGTTTTGTGTTTTCTCGCCTTTTCGCTCTTGGAGCCGTCTTGGGTCATCTTGGACTCTCTTGGGGCCTCTTGGGGGTCTCTTGGCAACGTCTTGGAGGCTTCTTGGGGGCCTCTTGGGGTCTCTTGGGGCCCTCTTGAGGCGCTCTTGGGGCGCTCTTGGGAGCCTTCGGGGCGCTCTTTGGGCCATCTTGGAGGAGATCTATCAAAGAAGGGGGGGTTGCTTATTAGCCCCGCCCCTCCAGAGTGCCTCGAGTCGCCTCTTGGGCCCCCCCAAGATGCCAAAATCCTTCCAAAACCTAGGTAAAATCAATGTTTTGTGTTTTCTCGCCTGTTCGCTCTTGGAGCTGTCTTGGGCCATCTTGGACGCTCTGACACCTCGCGACCGGCCCCGTCCAGGTCAGTGGGGAGGGGTAAGGGGAGGGGTAAACCCCTCCCCGAAGGGGAAGAAGGGGGTTGGCAGAGGAAACTCCCTAGACCACCTACGCCCTAAAGGGCTGGTGGGATTACATGATGGAGCAGAGCCATGGACTTACTATGTATACATTGTTTTGGTGTATCTGTATACGCATTTATAGGTGTATGCATACGCACGCACGGCTGTATGTACATACGCAGGTGCACACATACATTCCTCTTCTTATATTTTGATAAGCCCAGGCGGGGGGACCCCCCCCCCCAAAACTGGACTCCCGGGATCTGTGGCTTTGGGACCCACCGGACGGGCCTCGAAGCGGCCCCCCGGGCCTCGCAGGGCATTTTGCCAAGCTTTCCCAGCACACCAAGGGCGATCAGGGGGGTCATCGGAGACGTCCCAGAGACCCCCAGACAGCACAAGAGCGCTCCAAGAGTGACCGACGTGACCTCAGGATGGCCCAAGAGGCCTCCAGGACGGCCTCAAAAAGCCTCCAAGAGCACTCCCAAGAAGGCCCCAAGAGGCAACAATCATTGATTTTCTCTGGGTTTTTGGTGAATTTTGGGGTTCTCCTCATTTCGGCTTCCCCACGCTCCAATACGTCCAGAACACGGCCAGGAGGCCTCCAGAAGGCCTTAAGAAAGCCTGAAACTTTTGTGAGGCCCCCAGTGGCTCTCCAAGGAGGAACCTCTGCAAAAAGAGCTGAGGAGGATAGGGGAAAATGTGCAGGGTATGGCGAGAACGAGGAAACATAAGCAAGGAGGAAGGATAACGAATAACATGATTTTAGCGGCGATGCTGGAAAAGGCAACAAGGAGTTATCGCTAAATTGTCGGGTTGACCTTCCTGCCGTTCCGCCTGCATACCGAACTTCAAGGATCAAGGTGCATGGCGCGAAGCGCCGCTGCAGTCTTGTATATATATATATATATGTTTGTGTATGTATATACACATGTGTTTTGCATTTGCATGTATGTATGCATGCACGCATGCACACATGTGCGAACACATGTACATATGTACAGGTGTATGTTTGCATGCATGTATGTATGCATGTTTGAATATATATATATATGTATATATACATATGCGTATATGTATGTACGCGCTTATGTATGTATGTGTGTATTCACGTACGTATGTATGTTTGTTTGTACGTGTGTGTGTATGTATTTATGTATGTTTGCATGCATGAATGTATGCATACATGCATGTATACATATATATATATATATATATATATATGTATATATATATATATGTATGCGCGTGTGTATGCATACATGTATGTATGTGTGTATGTCTATTTGTATTTATGTATGCATGCATACACGTCTATTCTATATATATATGTATATACATGTATGCATGCATAATAACAATAATAATCATAATCGCAATACTAATAATAGTGATACGAATGATAATAATACTAATAATCGTAATACTAAGAATCATAAGACTACTATTATTATTGATAAGAGTAAGAAGAAGAGAGAAATAGAGAGAGAGAGAGAGAGAGGGAGGGAAACAGAGAAAGAGAGAGAGAGAGAGAGAGAGAGCGAGAGAGGGAGCGAGGGAGAGAGAAAGAGAGAGAGAGAGAGAGAGAGCGAGAAAAAACATAGTAATACTGATAATAGTTCTAGTAATACCAATACTAATCCTAATACTACTAGTAATGATAATAGTAAGAAGAAGAATAACAATAAACGACTATATATAGAGAGAGGGAGAGAGAGAGAGAGAGAGAGAGGGAGAGAGAGAGAGAGAGAGAGAGAGGAAAAAGGAGCGAAACAGAGAGAGAGAGAGAGAGAAAAAGAGAGAGGGAGCGAGGGAGAGTGAGAGAGAGAGAGAGAGAGAAACTCGAGGGAGCGATACAATTACAAGGTTTGCGAACTCAGGAAGTTCTAAACCGTGTGATTCCTTGCGGGGTTTGGGGATTGCTGGCGTAAGAATACCACAGGTCATGCGGCATTGTGGCGTTGGGTCCTCGTCGGGAAGAGACGGCTCCCTGCGTCTCCTCTCCTCCTCGCCCTCCCCCTCCATCTCATCCCTGCCCCTGCTCTCTGCACTCCCATCCCCGCCTCTGCTCTCCGTGCGCGCACTTCGGCACATCCCCCAG